CGGCATCCTCGCGAAAGAATGCATTAAAATGTCTTTTTACTATCTTGAAATAGAAAAGAGGAAAATTTTAAATTGGGTGAGACACTTAAAATGATTCTGGAACAATTTATTTTTAAATCCACTCTATATCGAAAACGGTAAGTGCAAAGTATACTAAACTATATATTTTTGAAATTAGCTAAAATATGTCTACCGGACCATGTTAAAATATGATGAGGTTTCCATTTAAAAAAAATCGAGATGGCGTCGCATCTGTAAAAATTGACGTTTTAAAAAATTTTAATGTAGAAAATCGGTATCCTCGCGAAAAAAGTACATTAAAATGTCTTTTTACTATCTTAAAATAGAAAAGAGGAAAATTTTAAATTGGGCTAGACACTTAAAATGATTCTGGAACAATTCATTTTTAAATCCACTGTATATCGAAAACTGTAAGTGCAAAGTATACTAAACTATGTAAATATTTTTGAAATTAGCTAAAATATGTCTACCGGACCATGTTAAAATATGATGGGGTTTCTATTTAAAAAAAATCAAGATGGCGTCGTATCTGTCAAAATTGACGTTTTAAAAAATTTTAATGTGGAAAATCGGCATCCTCGCGAAAAAAATACATTAAAATGTGTTTTTACTATCTTAAAATAGAAAAGAGGAAAATTTTAAATTGGGCTAGACACTTAAAATGATTCTGGAACAATTCATTTTTAAATCCACTGTATATCGAAAACGGTAAGTGCAAAGTATACTAAACTATATATTTTTGAAATTAGCTAAAATATGTCTACCGGACCATGCTAAAATATGATGGTGTTTCTATTTAAAAAAAATAAGATGGCGTCGTATCTGTCAAAATTGACATTTTAAAAAATTTTAATGTAGAAAATCGGCATCCTCATGAAACAATGCATTAAAATGTCTTTTACTATCTTAAAATAGAAAGAGGAAAATTTTAAATTGGGCTAGACACTTAAAATGATTCTGGAACAATTCATTTTAAATCCACTGTATATCGAAAACGATAAGTGCAAAGTATACTAAACTATATATTTTTGAAATTAGCTAAAATATGTCTACCGGACCATGCTAAAATATGATGGGGTTTCTATTTAAAAAAATAAGATGGCGTCGTATCTGTCAAAATTGACATTTTAAAAAATTTTAATGTAGAAAATCGGCATCCTCGCGAAACAATGCATTAAAATGTCTTTTTACTATCTTAAAATAGAAAAGAGGAAAATTTTAAATTGGGCTAGACACTTAAAATGATTCTGAAACAATTCATTTTTAAATCCACTGTATATCGAAAACGGTAAGTGCAAAGTATACTAAACTATATATTTTTGAAATTAGCTAAAATATGTCTACCGGACCATGCTAAAATATGATGGGGTTTCTATTTAAAAAAATAAGATGGCGTCGTATCTGTCAAAATTGACATTTTAAAAAATTTTAATGTAGAAAATCGGCATCCTCGCGAAACAATGCATTAAAATGTCTTTTTACTATCTTGAAATAGAAAAGAGGAACATTTTAAATTGGGTGAGACACTTAAAATGATTCTGGAACAAGTTATTTTTAAATCCACTCTATATCGAAAACGGTAAGTGAAAAGTATACTAAACTATATATTTTTGAAATTAGCTAAAATATGTCTACTGGACCATGCTAAATTATGATGGGGTTTCTATTTAAAAAAAGTCAAGATGGCGTCGTATCTGTCAAAATTGACGTTTTAAAAAATTTTAATGTAGATAATCGGCATCCTCGCGAAAAATTACAATAAAATATCTTTTTACTATCTTAAAATAGAAAAGAGGAAAATTTTAAATTGGGTGAGACTCTTAAAATGATACTGAAACAATTCATTTTTAAATCCACTCTATATCGAAAACGGTAAGGGCAAAGTATACTAAACTATATATTTTTCAAATTACCTAATATATGTCTACCGGACCATGTTAAAATATGATGGGGGTTTCTATTTGAAAAAAAATCAAGATGGCGTCGTATGTGTCAAAATTGACGTTTAAAAAATTTTTAATGTAGAAAATCGGCATCCTCGCGAAAAAATACATTAAAATGTCTTTTTACTATCTTAAAATGGAAAAGAGGAAAATTTTAAATTGGGCGAGACACTTAAAATGATTCTGGAACAATTCATTTTTAAATCCAGTGTATATCGAAAACAGTAAGTGCAAAGTATACTAAACTATGTATATATTTTTGAAATTAGCTAAAATATGTCTACCGGACCATGTTAAAATATGATGGGGTTTCTATTTAAAAAAAATCAAGTTAGCGTTGTATCTGTCAAAATTGACGTTTTAAAAAATTTTAATGTGGAAAATCGGCATCCTCGCGAAAGAAATACATTAAAATGTCTTTTTAGTATCTTAAAATAGAAAAGAGGAAAATTTTAAATTGGGCTAGACACTTAAAATGATTCTGGAACAATTCATTTTTAAATCCACTGTATATCGGAAACGGTAAGTGCAAAGTATACTAAACTATATATTTTTGAAATTAGCTAAAATATGTCTACCAGACCATGCTAAAATATGATGGGGTTTCTATTTAAAAAAATAAGATGGCGTCGTATCTGTCAAAATTGATATTTTAAAAAAATTTAATGTAGAAAATCGGCATCCTCGCGAAAGAATCCATTAAAATGTCTTTTTACTATCTTAAAATAGAAAAGAGGAAAATTTTAAATTGGGCTAGACACTTAAAATGATTCTGGAACAATTCATTTTTAAATCCACTGTATATCGAAAACGGTAAGTGCAAAGTATACTAAACTATATATTTTTGAAAATAGCTAAAATATGTCTACCGTACCATGCTAAAATATGTGGGGGTTTTCATTTAAAAAAAATCAACATGATGGCGTCGTATCTGTCAAGATTGACGTTTTAAAAAATTTTAATGTAGAAAATCGGTATCCTCGCGAAAAATTACATTAGAAAATCTTTCTACTATCTTTAGATACCAAACAGGAAAATTATAATGTACATGGGCCTGATAAACTCAAAACACCCATCAGAATTGAGCTAGCATGACTCATATTTTTTCTAACCTCAAAAAACCTACCACAAGTTTACTACAACCAACAGCGGTATAGATTTTTTGGGTCGCTGATCATGAATCTGACGTCGGATTTGCAAAATTCAATATGGCGGATACAATATGGCCGATGCGAATTTCAAAAAATGCCTGGACTTGGAGAAAAGCTTGTATATGGGAGTATTTTAGGTCGCTGAACATTAATCTGACATCCGATTCGCATAATTCAAAATTACGAATCAAATATGGCCGACGCGAATTTCAAAACACCACGGATCCGAACAAAATCGGTATATGTGAGTTTTTTGGGTCGCTGATCGCGAATCTAATGTCAAATGGGCCACTGAATACGCGAATCTGACGTCGGATTGGCAAAATTCAAGATAGCGGATCCCATATGGCAACCTTACAACCTCACGAATTGCCTACCCTGTGGGCGCGGAACCGATTCGAGTCGGCCCATACCTTTCTTGAGGTCGGCCATACCATGGGATCCGTCATCTTGAATTTTGCTAATCCGACGTCAGGTTCGTAATCAATGACTCATTTGACTATCCAAAAAACTCACATATACTGATTTTGTTCGGATCCGTGTTTTTTTTTTAATTTGCGTCGGTCATATTTGATCCGCCATTTTGGATTTGGCGAAATTTTGATAGCTGAATATGTGATAGCGGATACGTATTTAGCGTCGAAAAATACTATAGGATATTATGATGGTCTGGTAAAAAGCATAGACCACTTTTTATTTTTTGTGTAGCTGTGTAATTGAAAAAATTGCAGAATGTTTGTGGAACATTCATTTTGCTCTTAAAAATTAACCAAGGCATGTAGTGACATGAGACATGATTCTGACTGAAAAATAATATTTTAAGACAATTGGCTCATAAAATTATTGCACCAGGGTGTTTTAAAGATATAGGTTAAAAACGAACTCTTCGCGATTAATCCTGTCCCTATAATAAATCAAATATAGAAATTTCAAAACATTTTCCGATGCACGTCATCAACTTTGAGTGACAAGCGATGGAGACAGCGCTGCCAGATTGTGATGGATTTATGAGATGAATCTTAATTTAAAAGTGTCAAACAATATATATTTAGTATATAATTTTTATATAATTTTTTTAAGGCAGCAGCTACTAACTAAGCTACTAACACCGGTAATAAAGGACTTTTATTGTCACGTTCGCGCTCAAAATATTTTATCAGGTAAGCTACAAGCGCTTTGCTTCGACTGTTTAAAGCCTTCGGCATATTTTCAATCCACAATTTCAAAAAATGCAGTAAAAAATCTTGAAAATCTAGTTCTTAAAAGAACTTTTTGTGCTTAGAAGTATACTTTAAGAAAAAAACTATAAAAAACGGCAAAAAACCAGAATTACTCCCAAAAATTCAACAACACGATATACAAAATAATGACTGACACTAGGATAATTGTCAAATAATACACGACAACATTGCTGAACACGGCGCAATGTGACCAACAAGGCGATAATAAAAATTGATTTAAACTAATTTTTGGAGCTTTAATCTAAATAAAATATCTGTTACAATCATTTGCTCTATAAAGTATAATGAAGAGCTGTTTGGTATTTTAATTTAGTCAACAAATTTAAACATTTTTGCTAAAGTTTCATTTAGTCAGGTTTATAGGGTTTGGTTTGGTTTGGTTTAGTGTCAATTTCGATGTGATTAATGACGTGAATCGGAAAATGTTTTAAAATTTCTATACTTACTAAAGTTTATAATAAACTGGAGTTTCCGAATTAAAGTTAATATATTTATTTAGAGCTTACTAAAAAAAATAAAAAATAGGGCTAAAAATAAAAGAATATGACATTTTAAACTTGACAAGAAAATTTTCGGTTGCGTTATTTTTGCATCTAAGTTTATTATATTAGCTTTATTTTTCTTACTTGATACTTAGCACTTACCACGTAACTATTACCATTAAACAGTGATGCCAAAGATGCAAGAATGATATTTGATTAGATTTTTTTCGGAGCACGAAAAAAACCGTGTCTAGAAGGTCTGTTACTTTGTTAATAAAGTAGATATGAAAGCAGTAAATAAACTGAAAATGAACGAGAAAATGAAAAATTGAGAAATGAATTAGAAAAATGTCGTACATATTTTTTCATGAAATAGTAACAAAATTTTATGAAAAAATATGTACAACTTCAACGTGAGTTGTCTCTTGCCTCTAATATTTATTTATACCTTGTCTCTAATATTTGTTTTAATCAATGACTAAAGAATTCAAGGGCTAATAATACCCGAGACCAAATTGTTACCATACTTCCAAACAGTGCCGTGGCACATATTTTTCTTAACATAGTTGCTTGAAAAGATTTTTATATTTTTGATTAACGTTTGACTCTTCTCACGCCTATAGTGGAGTCCGACAAACGGTCGCACTCGCCACTTTAACCAACCAACCAAAAAGAACAAAACTAGTATCGACCTATAGCACATGATATCAAGTACATATAATATCGGAAAAATAATAATCGAATTCCATAAAAAAAGGCTAAGAGGGTGGAGTGGACTGTTTATTTACCTATAAAACGTAACTCCTGACTCTTTCTTATCACTGCGGCTTTTATTCTTGAAAGCTGAATAACCAATCACAATTGTAATAAAGTTGACTACACACAAACTATTAAAAATAGCTAAAATTGTCGCTAATGACCAGCTGATGACTCATGCGATACAGCCAAAAAAATGGCGTCTGACATCACAAATTCTGATGCGGGCCATATATGGGCGTTACGGGTCCTTGTGGTCTTTAGTCATTGGTTTTAAAGGAGTGCCTAAATTAAGCACGCTCCAACGTTGCCATTAAAGACTGTCCTACACGAGCGATGTGGCGAACACCTTCCAACGTTGGACGCACGGACGTTCGCCACATCGAGGGGGCGCGAAGAGATCCATTTGTCCAACGTTGGAAGCAAGTTCGGGCTCTCGTCGGTAAATTTCACGCGCGTCAAAGGACCTTCCAACGTTCCAAGCATTGTTCGACGCGCTCCTACACGGGAGTCTTTACGTGGCTGATATTTTACTGGAGATCAGTAGCGGCCTCGGTTTTAATGTTATACCATGGTCTTTTCACGCTGCAATTTTTTATATTGATTTATTCTTTGCCAAAAATATGTACATTCATAGGTACACCGGGTGCGTCTGAAATTGGCTCACCTCACATAAATTAGGATTGATTGACCTATTCATGCGAAAATGTACAGGATATGTTAACGATTTTAGAAAATATCATCCGAGCCGTAAATTTGATGGACTAAATAAAAAGAAATAAATGTCCCAGATACATTTCTTTCTATATTTTTCAATTTTTATTACACGAGGATTGCATAGAAAAAGCTTAGACGACAATTATTACCGATAATATGAAACACAGCGAATTCAGTGTCATCAATGTTCACTGGTCGAATATTCAACCGCTTACGTTAAATTTTCGCGTCAAAAACAAATAAATACGTTTTTTTAACTGAAAAAATAAAAACACTAAATCACCACAATACTATGTATAATCACTTATAAACTCAGTTTATAATCATCTGCTAATGAATGGTTAGCGAAACGCGCGTCCAGTGTAAAAGTAAAAGTGTTTTGGTGTATTGTGGTGATTTAGTGTTTTTATTTTGCTGTGTAACACCAAAGGTTCCAACCCTCAACTGTAATCTGAAAAAATAAAAAGTTATAGGAGTGAGACACTTTTGAGACGCACCTGGTATAGAAAGATTAATTATTGGCTTTCTTTGTGTTAATAAATATGTGACAGAATGGTTATTACATTAACTTAGTGAAAACATTTAAATTTCTATTTATTCATTTACTTTTTATTTTTTTATTCATTAAAATTTTCTTTTTATATTAGATATGTAAATTAGTTGTTACTTTCTACTAAAAATTTTCCGTTTTTAACTGCACTTATATATACAGGGTGCTACAAATTCGAGGTACGAGCATTGGTATCTCTATCCTAAATTAGGCAAAGAAAACAAAGTCCTCCTACACTGGGTGCCTGCTCACCAAGGGATAGAAGGCAATGAAAAAGCAAATAATCTAGCTAGGAAAGGAGCGAACACTCCACTAACTGGACCAGAACCGTTCTGCTTTCCAAGCGGTAACCAACTCAAGGCGGAACTCAAGAACTTGGAAGATTCCATCCGCAACCTGGAATGGAAATCTTGCAATGGTCTAGGACACTCGAAGAAGTTTCTGAGGGCTTATGATCAAGAAAAATCACAGATCTTCCTGGGTCTGAGTAAGAACAATCTTCGGATTGTCACGGGGTTTTTAACAGGACACTGTCTCCTCAATGAACACCTCAGTAGATTGAAACTAAGAAGAAACGGCGAATGCAGATTCTGTGGGGAAGATGGTGAAACACCAGTACACCTCATCACTGAGTGCGCCGAGACGACAACCATTCGTGCCATGAATTTTGGTACGACTGATATTGGAGATGGAGAACTACCCTCTATAAAACCGTCCCAGATACTGGCTTTTGTCAAAGCCCTGGGACTGTATGATGAGTTATGATTCAAGAAAGGGGGACACAATGGATCTGTAAGGTCGAAGTGATTAACCCCCCTCCCACTCATTCTAAATTCTAAATTCTAATTGGTATCTCGGTAACCGTAATAGATACAAACATGGTTAAATGGGGGCAAAGTTGCGGTTTGGGATGTTCACCAAGATGCCATCAAAAAAGTTTTAAAAATTTCAAGGATTGCTGAGTTTTTTGGAAAAAACTGATTTTTTTGAAAATCAATTTTATTTTTTCCTGTCGTTACTTTTTAGATAATCAAAAAACTAATTGCGCATTCTCATAGCCACTTTATTAGGGCTATCTGATAATATTTTTAGATTTTCAAATTAGCTGATAATTTTTGAGATACAGAGGCAAACTTAATTTTTTTAAATACGGACCTGCATTTTTTATTTCCGATTTTGAAAGAACTCGCTCTCCTGAATACAATGATGTACCACACTTAATATTATTTTTTTTGTTTTGACATTTGAACACAATTTATTTAAACTAATTTCAAGTTCAGCTCTGTTTTTTTTTAAATATTTAATCTATTCATCATTACAATATTGATAAGCTTTTAAACTTAACAATGACGTGGGGTGAAACATTGAGTACGGAAAATCAAATGCAATAAAATAATATAAAATAATTAATATAAATATAATATAATATAAACAATCAAATAATTTTCCCGGAAGATGGATTGGAAATAGTAGAGCAGTATAATGTTCAGCGAGATTCCTGGACCTATCGCCAAGAGGCTACATATTACTTGACGTCATTTGTAAAAGTGAAATCAATTCATCTCAACATTTACAATAAAGAGTACAAAATGCATGCGGAAATATAAGAAGAAAGTTCAAAGAGATATAAATAAAATTGAGCGAAAAATAAATTTGTGCAATATAGGGACGGTGGTAACCCTTTCAAACATGTAGAACATTAAAAACTAGTTAGTAGAAGTTGATTTATTTATAATAACTACGATTAATATTATGCATATTATTAGATCACACACTGAGATTTCAGATTTACAATAAAAAAGTTAAAAATAATATCTTTAAATTTCTGACCTGGATATTATTTATTTGAATCTTCCAATTGGCTCGATTTTCCTTATTCAATGTTAATTAGCGCTGATCAGTATTGTTGCTATGAATATAATCAGATTAAATAATTTAAGAAACCAGAGTCGGAGTTTTTTTATTTTAAATAATAATTAAATAGTTTTGTTGCTGTTAAAGTAACCCCAAAACAAAAAAAAAAGTATAAAGTGTGGCATATCATTGTATTCAGGAGACCGAGTTCTTTCAAAACCTGAAATAAAAAATGCAGGTCCGTATTTAAAAAACATAAGTTGGCATCTGTATCTAAAAAATTATCAGCTAATTTGAAAATCTAATAATACTATCAGATAGCCCTAATAAAGTGGCTGAGAGAACGTGCAATTAGTTTTTTGATTTTTGAAAAAGTAACTACAGGAAAAAATAAAATTAATTTTCAAAAAAATTAATTTTTTTCAAAAAACTCAGCAATCCTTGAAATTTTTAAAACTTTTTTGATGGCATTTTGGTGAACATCCCAAGGCGGCAACTTTGCCCAAATTTAACCATCTTCGTATCTATTACGGTTTCCGAGATACCAATGCTCGTACCTCGAATTTGTAGTACCCTGTATATACTGCGTTTATACTCCATATCTGCTCAAGCCAAGAGTTCGTACAACCACAGATTATAAACTTATCGTCAAAAGCATTGTTTTTCGTAGTTCCAATTTCCGGAGTTGCGCACTACTTAGGTTACTAGGTAGTATGCGCACAAGCACACCCACTTATGGCCTCTAAAATTGTGCACAGCGCCTGACCGGCCTTGCGACCGGCCCAGTTATTACGCTGTTTAAACGGGAGTTTATTTTTGCGCACAAGAAAATTTACTCGTTTGTTCATCGTCATAAAAAACAATTTTCATACCACGAATTAGAGACAAGATTTTTTTCTGTATACTTATAGGATACCTAATCTATGGTACCTACAACACTGAGTTTATTCTACAAATGTAATGTTAGGTTTGCGCATATACGTATTACTTTTTACAAATATACTCAGGGTTCCCTATTTAACCCCGTGTGCAATTTCTGTGCCGTAAGAAAAAGACAACATAACCCAGCTCCATATTAAAACTGCATAAGTCTATTTCACCCGGATATGGATTGAACTGCGATTGCGCCAAACTCCGATTGATTGTTGTTTTAGTTCTGTTTGGATTACTTTTTATTTGTGCGCGTAAAAGAGTGATTTTGTTTAGTTTATTGTTTCCAACTATTTTTTGATATTTTTCCAACTCCATGATAATGTGTTATAAATAATAAAAATATAAATAAAACTGAAGGTTAGGGGAAATGTCAGTCAACCACTTCCCTTTAAAAACATCGACCAATGAAAACTTCTTCAGGTGAGGCATGCTCAGTTAAATGAATATCCGGGTGAAATAGACTTATGCAGAATTCCATATTGTTCTTTCACTGTTTGGGCTTCACTTTTTGGAGATTAGGCTGAGTATATTTGTAAAAAGTAATACGTATATGGGTTTGCGTCCAACGTTGGAACCAACGTTGGTAGCATCGTGTTGGAGACACATTTGTCAATTGCAATAGTATCGAAAACTGTATCAAATGTTGGTTGCAACGTTAGACGCAACGTGTAGGACTGTCTTCCGTCGATGTTGATATATTTCACATATATCCCCAAACTTAACAGAGAAACACGAAAAGAAAAACGAAACGGTTTAAACCAATACAATCAAACCTGGTGGCTTTGGTTTCAACCTTTATGTTTGCTTTCTTTCGTGTTTCCCTAAATGGCAACGTCGGAGCTTGCTTAATTTAGGGCCTCCTTGGTTTTAATAGTATAGACATAGTCATAGATGAATGAAACAAGTTTAGATCGGAAAGTGCCCATAAGAACAATCTAAATACTATATGACGTTATTCTTGCAAAAGTCGCGATCCAAAGCTTTTGATAATTTCGGGGCAGATCAGCTTTTTCCGGTATTATGTCGCCAAATATTATTTATTCAAATTTATTTGTGTTTTCTTAATTTTATAAATAAAACACGTTGTGTTGAATTTAAGGAGCTTTATTTTATATAAGGACATGTATGCGTATGAAATACCTAAAATATATTACGAAAGTGCAGCAGTTTGAAGCAAAAAATAATTATCATAATACCTATAATATCTGTTATAATTTATAATAGTGGGTCACAGTTAAAGGCTCCTGTATAGTATTTACTATTTTTTAGTTTTATATATATTTTTATATTTCTATACCTTATGGGCACTTTCCAATCTAAAATTGTTTCATTTCATTATCTATGCTACTTATTTCAGCTTTTATTGTATATGCAACAGAAATTATTAGTTAAGTATTATAAATTTTATAAATCATGTCATATTTTACAAGAGAACCAAAGCAAGAAGTTATACTTACTAGTTGTGCCAATTCAGAGTTTGTATAATCAATTGGCATACAGAAAAAATTGTTGACAGTATAGGACACCTTAACACCCTAAAATTAAAAATAAAAAAGATTCAACTTTTAAAACAAAAATCAAATTAAATTCAGCAACGACTTCATTAAATATATTAAGACTTATTTTACTGTTTTCAAACTACAACCTAATATTTATGGGCATAGTATACAGGGTGTTTCAAAACAAATGCGAAAAACTTCAGGGGGTGGTTCCTCGCTAAAAATAAAGGGTAGTTTGCTTTATAAACGTTGGGTTAACAGTCAACCATTAGGGAGATATCGCGGTACAAAGATGGCGGAAAAATAATGTTTTTATTTTTTATCTTGAAAACTAAGAGATAGACTAATGACATTTTATGGAAGCATTACTGTTATGAAAACATACATTCCGGTAATTTTTTCATTTTTTTAAAATGAGTGGAAGGGGTTGAAATAAACTACCCCTATCATTCTTGTTAACGAAATTTAAAGAAAAATCTTATCAAACACATGCAAAAAAATTAATTTGGATAGTTTAGTTTGTTTAGAAACTTTTTAATCTCTTCTGTTTTTTGATAAAACTCACCGATTTGAAATTAAAAAATAAAATGTAAATCATTGCCTGTCAGGACAAAAAAAACATTTTCACATAAAGAAAAAAGGCTTCGGAATAATTAATTGATCGTAAGATAATAACGTATTGCAGTAGAGTAATGTCAGATAAAATAATATTAGAAACATCCTAAAAAGTGACAGCGGCCAACTAGATTTTTTCCTAAAAAAATTACAGCAGCTCACTTGATTCTTTATCTAAAAATGTTTTTTGTCCTGACATGTAATGCTTTACATTTTATTTTTTAATTTCAAATCGGTGAGTTTTATCAATAAAACACAAGAGATAAAAAAAGATCCTAAATAAACTAAACTATCCAAATTAATTATGCATGTGTTTGATAAGATTTTTCTTTAAATTTCGTTAACAAGAATGATAGGGGTAGTTTATTTCAACCCCTTCCACTTATTTTAAAAAAGTGAAAAAATTACCAGAAAGTGTGTTTTCATAACAGTAATGCTTCCATAAAATTTCATTAGTATATCGCTTTTCGTTTTCAAGATAAAAAATAGAAACATTATTTTTCCGCCATCTTTGTACCACAATATCTCCCTAATGGTTGACTTTTGACCCAATGTTCATAAAGCAAACTAGCCTTTGTTTTGAACAAGGAATCAACCCCTGAAGTTTTTCGCATTTGTTTTGAAACACCCTGTATATGTAGCAATGGAGATTATTTTGCAATAAATTATGTACTGGTTAGTTGACTTATTTAATTAAGCATGCCCAATTATAATTTTATATTTTTTTTGCGCCAAAAGCATGCAAATTGTGCAATAGTAGATTTTTGTGTAAAATTTAAAAAGGACATCGTACAGTAAAACCTGTTTATACTCATTCCCTTATATGTGTGTAAAATCTTTATGTAGCTCTTCATAGAATTAGCCATTAGAAGGTGGAGAATTTTAGCAACATCTTCATACTAACATAAATGTGCTTTGCTGATTTCTATTTTGTACATACATACATACATACTGCCATTACTCGCTGACGAGTATTTGACACGCATCAGAAGATGGTCACGCAAGGCGTTTTCTTTCATGAGCCTTTCTATGAATGAAAAGCCCGATACGTGATGTTATCTGTCTACCGCACTCCAGACATTCAAAAATCTCATTCAAAAAGTTTTTGGTTGTCGCTGTTAACAGAGTTTACAGTTCTTCTCCATTCCGTTCAATTGTGAGCTGCTTCTTCCCACTCATTCTGCTTGTTAATCCCCTTTAAGTTTTCGTGGAAAATATCCTTGTACCTTTTGAGTTGTCCACCCGGCCTCCTCTTACCGTCTACAAGCTCACCGTAAAGCAGAGATTTTGGTATCCGGTTTTCTTGCATTCTGCATACGTTACCAGCTCATCTTAAGCGGGACTTTGTAATCATGATTTCAATACTCTCGCAGTTAACTTTTTCAAGGACCGATACGTTTGAGACATGATGGAATCATTTGATTCTTAAGAGTTGTCTAAGATGTCTTTGTTGCAACTTGTTTAATGCGTTCATGTGTCGGCGGTACGGCACCCAGGTTTTGCTTCCATATATCATGGTGGGAATTATTATTGCTCGGTACACTGCAAGTTTCGTTTTTGTGCTCAAGTCATGATTGTAGAAAACCCTCTGTCTTTTAATTTCCAGAACGCTCTAGAGGCGCTGTTAATCCTGTGCTGAACTTCGAGTCAATATTGACCTTTTCCGAAATCAAACTACCGAGGTAATTGAATTCCGCCACATATTCCAATAGTCCGTCACTGATTTTTATAGCATTGTTGTGATCTTCCGAAGGAATGCACATGATTTTGGTTAGGCATTGCAATTGCTGTAACGTATTTGCAACTAGAGCACAGTCATCAGCGTATTAAAGTTCTGTGATGAATTTTGTTTTGGTTAGGTTAGGTTAGGTTAATCAATCTATTTTGTAGGAATGAGGAGGCAAGCAATAATTATTTGCTCCAAGACGAAGTATTTTTTCAAATAATCCTTAGTAAAGAAACTTATGTTTATGATGTTGAATTCTGAAACGAGATTACACTGTATCTCAATCGTAATTACGCTTATAAAAATAAAACTCTCCCTTCATTGACGATTTATCTATTTTTCATTTTGTTAAATGTTTATCAAAGAAGTAATTCTGGACTTGCAATCAATCGACTGGCTCGTGAAGGATCTGACCGCTAAGTGTGCCCTAGTATTAAAGGAATCCAATCAGTGGAACCAGACTACAATAAAACGATAGGATATTACCACTAATAGGGAAAATCATGGAGAACACGAGTCCACACCTGCTAGACCAGAAAACGGACTATAGGTATGCTCACCAAACATAATTTTGGAGAAAAAATAAGGATGGGAAAGAATGGGAAAACAACCTAGTAAGGAACACTCAAGAGATAGCAGACTACACAGATGCTTCCGTGACTTCAGGGGGCACAGGTATAGGCATCTTCTCAGAGGAACTAGACATCCGACGATATTTAAGGCTATCGGATGGCTGTAATGTTCTACAAGTAGAGGTTTACGCTATAAAGTAAGCGGCTATACGAGGGAAAATCGCTGATAGACCAATAGGAGATATCGTGATATACTCTGACTCTGCTTTAAAAAGCATCACCATGCAATCGTGAGATCTAAAACTGTGTTGGACTGCTGAGAAGCGCTGTCCTGGTTTCGTCAAGGCGAGGCCACTCTGTACTAGGTGCCAGGCCAGAGCAATGTGCTGGGCAACCAAGAAGCGGAGAGTCTCGCCAAATAAGGGGTCAGGAGAGACGCGCCGTGACAGGTGACCCACCACTTGTGGCGATTAAAACACCGAAGGAAGTTAGATTAGATTAGTTTCTTAGAGGTGGCTTTCGGCCTGATCCACTGCGACCTTCTCAGATCTATTGTGGTCCTCTTCTGATCCTTAGATTACATTCTCCAGTCCTATCCTTTTCACAAAGTTTAGCAACTTGGAGACTGAACCCTCCATGTAGCTCCTTGGCAATGGCCTCTCATTGCCTATTACCGGGAACCGCACATTTGTCAGACTGTCACACTGACATAAAATGTGTTCTGACGATTCTTCTTCAGATTGGCAGAACCTACACATAGCTTCGTCTGTCAATCCCATCAGCTTTAGATGCCTCTTTAGCTTACAATGCCCTGTTAGTAGACCTACTACAGCTTTGACTGTCTTTCTGTCCTTGCTTATCAAGTCTACCGTGAATTTTGGCGAATGTTCTACAATGAACCTTTTCGCCTGCCTCTGCCCTGGTGAGTTTCTCCACCATTCTATTCCAAACCAAACCATTCTAGAGATTTGTTGGCCACCCATCGTTCCGTGGCCATTCTCGTGACCGCCTTTGCAACGCCGCAGAAGGGTTCTGGGTCTATGAATGGCATTGATGAGCCTTGCTTGGCCCTTTGATCTGCCTTTTCGTTACCCTTGTGACTCTCGTGCCCTGGCACCCAGGCCAACGTAACAGTGCTACGTTCGCCCAAACTATTCAGAGCACGCACACAGTCCCACACTAGTCTAGAATTGACCTCCGCGGAGCTGAGTGCATTTAGCGCCGCTGTGAAGATGGCTACAGAACGATTTGTTCTTTGTTGCCTTATTATTTCATCTACACAATAGTGGATTGCCGTTATTTCTGCCTGGAAAATTGTGACATCCTTGGATAGGCTTACGTGGAAGGATCTCCCTTGTTTCGGCCCTACTATCCCAGCTCCTACGCCTTCTGACGTTTTTGAGCCGTCTCTATACCAGGTTGCCTCAGCTTGAATGGGTACACCTTTACACCAGTCTTCCCTTCCTGGTATGGTTATATTAAATTTGTTGTTGAAGCTATACCTAGTAGCTGTTGCATCAATTGGTAATCCCAATACTTTGTCTGCTTTTAGCTCTTCGATTAGCTTCTGGTTTGCAGTACTATGCGTTTGGTTTATGTGCTGCTGACCGTGAATTAACCTGTGCATGACAGATCTGGCTTCGCCTTGTATGAAAATATGTAGTGGTGGTAAGTTCAACAAGACTTCCATCGCATTTGTAGGAGTGGTTTTTATGGCCCCAGTTACACACAGGCACGCAAGCCTTTGTGTGGAACTTAACAGCCTTACCGCACCCACTTGCGATGTCTTTGTCCACCACGCCACCGACCCGTAGGTTATCATGGGTCTTACTACCCTTGTGTATAGCCATAGAGTCATTTTAGGGATAAGTCCCCAGTTTTTTCCACACATCCTTCTGCACCTACCTAAAGAGATGGCAGCCCTCTGTGTTGCTTTCGCTATGTGAGTATTCCATGTAAGCCTTTGAGCAAAAATATCCCAAGATACTTTGTTTCTTTGGCAAATGAAATCTCCGTTTCTCCTAGCACTGGTGGTTTTAGGCCTTTTGGTGCTATCTTTTTTGTAAAATTGACAATTTGTGTTTTCTGAGCATTGACTGTCGTCTCTCTTGTCTGCACCACTT